CCACTCACCTCAGCCTCCCAAAAGCGCGGGATTACAGGCTGAGCTACCGAGCCCGGCTGGTAGATGTTACTTCTTGACCTCTCACTTTTGGTTATTACTTGTAGTAGACAGCCTCCAAATAGCCCCCAATGAATCCTGCCTCCTGGTACCTATAACCTCGTGCAGTTCTCTCCCACATGTCAGGGTTGGTCTATATGACCAATAGAAGATAGCAGAAGCGATGATGGTATGTCACCTTCAAAGCTGGGTCATAAAGGGCACTGAAATTCTTATTCTCTTTTCTGGATCACTTGCTCTAGGGGAGACTAAATAACATATCCTGAGGAGAGACCCATATGAAGAGGAACCGAAGCCTCCTTCTACAGCTGAGTGAACCTGGAAGAGGATCTTCTTGCCCCAGTCAAGCCTTCTGATAACTGTTACCTCATGAGAAACCTCTGAGCTGCTTCTGAACTCCTGAAATTGTGAGATAATAAATACTTGTCTTAAGTCATTAAATTCTAGGGTGATTTGTTATACAGCAAGAGACAGCTATTTTATTACTTATTTAATTTGGAATTTAGAAAACTAGGAATTTGTCCTGATACTTTTCTTTATGTATTACTCCACATACTCTCCCCATCTTTCCAATATAATTAGGACAAATTGTGGTTAAATTAATGTTAAAAGTTGCATTATTAGGTTAATGTGACTATTAGTTGTAGCCAAGCCATGTTGTGTAATATATTACATTAGCTTTTTGTATAATTTAAAAATTTTCCCTAGAGTTTAAATATCTTTTTTACTATGTTCAATCAGGTATTCTATCAGTTATTTGTTTTCCTCCTCCCTTCCCTGCTCACTTCTTTCTGAGCTAAGATCTCACTGTTGCCCAGGCTGCAATACAAGCGGCATGATCACAGATCACCACAGCTTCCAACTCCTGGGCCTAAGCAATCCTCCCACCTCAGCCTCTCAAGTAGCTGGGACTACAGGCATGCACTGCCACATCCAACTAATTTTCATTTTTAAAAAATTTTATAGAGATGGGATCCATGTTGCCTAGGCAGGTCTTGAACTCATGGGCTCAAGCAATCTTTTCACCTTGGCCTGCCAAAATGCTGGGATTACAGGTGTGAATCACTGCACCTGGCCAGTTGTCTGTTTCTTGAGACATCTCTACTGGCACTCTATTATTCTAGGAATTCCATTTACCTCACCTATATCGGAACCTTTGTTTTCTGGATCTCATTTATTTATTTACTTGTTCTAGTGGAAAGTATCTTCTAACAGAGCTTCCTAAGAAAAGTATACGCACAGTATGTCTGAAAATGTTTTTACTACCCTCAAACTTGGGTGATAGTTTGGTTAAAAATTTCTAAGCTGGGAATATTCTTTTTTTCTGTTAAAATTTTGGAAGCATTGTTCCACTATCTTCTAGTTTGTCGCTTTTGAGAAATCTAATGCCATTTTGAATTCTAACCCTAAATATGTGACTGTTCTCTCTAGAAGTTTTAAAAGATTGTCTCTTTATTCTTGTAGTTCTGAATTTCACAGTGCTTCACCTTAGTGTTGGTTTTCTTTCACTCACTGTGCTGTATCAATCTACAGACATAATTTCAGTTCTGGAAAAATCTTTTCATATCATTTTAAAATTAATTTATTCCCTTCTATTCATTTTTCTATTCCTAAATTTTTACTAGTTAGGTATTGAACTTATTGGAATGAGCCTCAAATTTTCTTATTGTTCTCTCCTACTGTCCATCATTTTCATTTGGTCTATCATGTAGGAAACTTCTTCAACTTTATTTTTCCATCTTTCTGTATTGAAGTTTTATGTATTGGCTATCATATTTTTAATTCCAAGAAATCTTCTTGTTTTTTGAAGATTCCTTTTTTTTCCTCCAAAAAGAATCTTGTTCATGTTTCATGAATGCAATATTTTCTCTAATTCCTCTTGAGGTATTATATAATTAAATTTGTTTCTTCTTTCCCTCCCTGCTTTTACTGTTTCCTCTGAGTTATTTTATCTTCCATATTTTTTTGACCTCTGTCTTTTATATTAAAGGCTTTCTTTAAATGTCTGATGACACTTGGCTATCTATTCATATTTTTAAAACTGTTTAAAAGTTCTGTGTATGCATCAATCTGTGTGGACTTCACATTAGGGTGATCAGATAAGAATCTGTAATTTTATTGAGGATCCCTAGAAGTAGCCAGTATCTTTAAGACTTTTTCTCTGGGGATAGCTTTATCAGAACAGGATTTCCTAATCTCTTGCATGGGGTCACTGCTTGCAGATATTTCGAAAACTGAGTGAGAGAAAGGGATAGTCCTGCACCTCACTACTTAGAACTTTAACTTAAAGTTCTTATTTTCAGTTTAGCGCCATATTCCATCCCTTCTTTTATGATAGGCGTGCCTAAATTTGGAGAGTCTAGTTCAATATCTAAGACTAAACCTTCTACCTCCTGAAAGAGTTGGGAAGGGGCATGGGCATCTAACTGCTTTTTGTCCAGATTTTCAACGGATCTTCCTGTTTTCAGTGTATTTGGTGTCTCCAATTCTACAATAGCCCTTCCAGGGTTCTACAATACAAATCCTCTTCCTCTGGAGTTTTTTCCCCTGGGAAGCACTTTCAGTTCCTCTGACCCACTAAGTCTGCCACACACACTTTTTGGCTTTAACATTCCATTGATTTCTCATTTGCTAAATGTTTCCCCTCTTACTATCATTTTAATGGAGTCACAGAGGAGAATGAAGGTTAAGTGTGCGTTCAATTTGTTGTGTTTAACTGCTCTGCATTTATTTTTCATCTAGAAAATAAACAGAAGACAAAAGAATAAGCTGTATGTGTATCAACAAGGTGACCTGGTTGCCAAAAAAAACTCAGCTACAGAGAAGATAGGCCTATCTTGGGATATGCTAGCCAGATTACATCTGAGTTTCTGTGTTCATTTGAGGGGAACAACAAATCTGACCTTGTTTAAAGAGGGAGACCAAGATGGGAAAGGATCTGGAAGCTATATCTTATAAGGAATGGCTAAAGGACAGTTACTCTGGAAAAGATAATTTAGGAGGAACATGATGGTTATTCTCAAATACTAGACGGGTTGTCACATGGATAAGGGCAGACTTGGAAAATTACAGGAAGCCAGATTTTAGTTTATCACAAAAGAACAAGGTTGGTCTCGGTGGCTCAGCCTGTAATCCCAGCACTTTGGGAGGCCGAGGCGAGTGGATTGCTTGAGCCCGTGGGTTTGAGACCAGACCGGGCAACTTGACAAGACCTCGTCTCTACAATAAATAAAAAATTAGCCAGGAATGGTAGAGTGCACCTGCAGTTCTGGCTACTTGGAAGGTTGAGGCGGAAGGATCGCTAGAGCCCAGCAGGTCGACACTGGGGTGGCTGTGAGTGTGCCACGGCACTCCAGTCTGGGCGACAGAGTGAGACTCCAAATAAAAAAAAAAGAATAAGAGCCTATCACCTAAGAATATTTAGGATACTATGCTCTTGTGAAAAGCTTTTAAAAATCTAAACACTCTCATTTCTCAGGTTTAAAATGTCACTTTTTTCTTTGAGTTGGAGGTCTTACTTTGTC